GATTCAGCATTTGAAGTCTTGAAAAGCTGTAAAATGTATTGTCTTGTCTTAATGAGAAAAAAATTGTTTATTATGCTTAAACTATTCTTACCTTTAGCACAATGGAGATAAATTTGATACCAGATATGCTATATAGACTGATGTCAATCAAGAGTGCTCACCTGACAACTTATTTTCCATCGCATCCATTTTATTAATGTTATTCAGCATTTGAAGTCTTGAAAAGCTGTAAAATGTATTGTCTTGTCTTAATGAGAAAAAAATTGTTTATTATGCTTAAACTATTCTTACCTTTAGCACAATGGAGATAAATTTGATACCAGATATGCTATATAGACTGATGTCAATCAAGAGTGCTCACCTGACAACTTATTTTCCATCGCATCCATTTTATTAATGTTACAATGTCTGTTGTACAATCATAATTCTGTCTGAGTTCAGTGTAGACTGTACAGGATATTTTGAACTAAATTAAAGCAAAGAGATTTTGTTTGCAGTCATGTTCAATGAGTTGGGAGTCTCTCTAAGCTCAAAATCTGATTCTACACTACACTACACTGCTAACATAGGATATCACATTGACACCACTCCAGATAAATCTTCTGTTTGCAAGTCACAGGTAGACAACTCTTTTACTTAGCATAGGATAATCAGATGTTTTTGTCAGTAGTTGGTTAATTATTACCTACTAGCAGGAAAAAAGTCACATGATTTTGATAAGGGTACATTTAATTCAAATGATGTGCAACAGCATTGCTGTGATATTTAGGAGAATGATCTGACTCTTATAGAGGTTATATGGAAGGCGATAGGTTGGCGGCACTTTTCTGTCTTTTATTTGTAATTTAATATTGCTGAAGAGAATATTTTTGTGTTCTAAAAATGTTGGATCGTAAATGCAGAGTGATATGTTGTTTCCTGTGTGTTGGTTATTCTTAAATAATCCAGTTCTACCAAAGCTTGTTCCTGTCTCTTACATTCCAGTGTAGCTGTTTTCATGTGTTTTGTTTTGTGTTTCAGCATGATGTGTTTCCATTAAAGTCTATGATTTCAGAAGTAAATGAGTCAGATGGGTAAAAACTTAGCACAGATCTTCATACAAACAACATAAGGACAGGTGTAAAACACTGTTAGAAGTTAAACACTGTTTTATAAAGGAATATTATATTTTGTTGGTTCACAGCACAAAGGTACAGACATAGGAAAAGATGTAACAAGTTTAGTTGTGTTACTACAGTGGCCACTTAAATAATTCTGGAAATGTAGCACAGCCCTGAGTAGACTATAACAATGTATGTCAAATAAGTATAAAATAAATGCCATTGGAAATTAAATGGCACACAAACACACATTAAATGGACTTTTTCTTCACTGGCACTGAAGAGAAACTAGATACAAGTGCGGTAACAACATAAGGGAAGTCTACAATCAGTGACAACAGCTGCTCTGGTAGCTTTCAGTTATACTCTGTTGGCCCACCCACTATTTAGTACCTCAGTGGGAAATCTGAATTCATTGATCGGGATCAATCCAGAAGCATCAGGGAGATTTTTCATCAGCGGCAACGATTCCTAAACTACAACAAGCAGACACACTTTACTCCAGTTTGTAATTGGACAGAGCCTATGACAACAGTGTCATTCTATGAGAGGTAAGTGAGATGACAAGCGATATTGAAACAAACAACTAATGGAGAAAGCATTGAGTATTATGGGTATTTCAAACTCAGCATCATACCCTTGTTAGTTCAGCTTATCCCTATGAAAACAGGCATTCTCAGTCACATTTATCATTCATTTCCTTAGGCACACATCTGATACAGGTGCTATCTGTAATATAGACAAAGGGTAATTACATTTGTGCTATAGATAATTACCTCCCACTTTCTCAAGCACAGCTGAACGAATGATTCACAATGAACAATTTATAATCCAACTAATTTAGCCTTCTTCGTTGCTCCCAGAATGTCTGTAAGAAGCAGATTGTGACTTCCTTGCATACAGTTATTATTTGACAATATTTATTTCCACACTTCTGTATTCGTTTGTTGTGATTAAAGTCACAAGGTATTTCAGTTTGTTGATTGGATAAAAGCAGAGGCACTTCTGCAATGAATACTCACGAAAATTCTAGTTTTAGTTCCTACCAATGTTATGAACAATAAAATTCAATTACTTCATAACTTCATAGATTTTTTTTTCAATGCCAGAAGGGGTCTTAGATCATGTAATCACACTTCTGTAGAGCAGGCCATGAAATTTCACCCAATTCCCCCTATATTAAGCCCAATAACTTTAATTTTCTTGTTTTCTCTCAGAAAATGTAAAGAGACCATAGGAACTGCCAACATGAACTCATTTATATATTTGAGAAAATAGTCACAGAAAATTTCTTCCAGATCTATCAACAAAAACTGCACAACATAAACACTGTACACTTAGCGTTCTGTACAGCAACCAGCTGTAGAAAGGAGTGAATCTAAAAGTGTTGTTCCTCTTTATAAACACACCAAGAAATGGTTTTAATGTACAGTAAACTTCC